TACTATAATAATACAGTATATATAAATAAATATATATATGTATAAATATATATATATATATATATATACAAATAAATATATAAAAAAATATATCAACTTATTAATATATATAAATATATATATGAATATATATATATAAATATATGTATAAATATATAAATAAATATATGAACATATTAATATATATATAAATAAATATACAAACAAAATATAAAAATAATTTAAAGAATTATATAAATAAATATATAAACATATAAATATATATAAATATATATAAATACATATACAAATAAATATATAAATAAATTTACAAAAAAACAAACAAATATATAAAGAAATATATGAATAAATATATAAATAATTACAGTATATAATATAAAACAATAATACATTATATATATAAATAAATAAATATATAAATATATATACACAAATAAGTATATAAAAATAAATATATAATAAATATATACATAGGCCTATATATATATAAATAAATATACAAATAAATATATATATATATGTATAAATATAAAAATATATAAAAAAATATATACAGTATATATAAAATAATATATATATATATATATATATATATAGATATATCAATAAATACAGTACATATATATAAATATATCTGTATGTATGTATCTGTATATCTGTATTATAACAACATCTCTATCAGCGCTGCATACTTCCGGATCGACATTCGAAAAAGTGTATGTACTGCGCATGACTGGACTACACAAGCAAAGCTTCCCGGTGAAAAAAAAGGATTTAAAATGTATGACTCGCATGGCTCGCTGGCTCGCATGGCTCGCGCATTGGCTCGCTGGCTCGCACTTTGTCACGACCCCTGTGGGCCTAGGCCTATGCCTAAGTGTATATTAAACTGCCAGGCATTAATGACAAATGTTCCTTTTCATAGTTTTAAATCAAGAACAAATCTGGGAATATCATGATGGATGAGGCAAAATGCACCTTGTCTGTCGCATGCTAGCGGCCCGGTTGTATTTGCCCTGGTACTGGCACATAGGCCTAGTCTAATTATTTTTACTAGTGATTCTTAGGCGTGACGTTTTTATATTTTTTCATGAGAAGTTGCTTGCTATAATATTACAGTTAAGATTTCTAAGTCTGACTTTCAGTGTCGGAACAGGTCACAATGTCATTCACCAGTTTGATTGTGCTGAATACTATTTTTGCATTGCCTGTATGACTGCTCATTTGTGGATTTTATATATTAATTGTTTATAAACTTTTCTTTAATATTTTTTGGTTGATGCCATTAATTGATAAATATATGTTTACTTTTAGTTACCAATAACCTGAGGGAAGAAAGTTAAAACAGCATTTAAGCAAGTCCACCGTTCTTCTGTAAAGGCACTCTGTATGCATTATTAAATACTGTAAGTCCTGGCTTTATCTTATTATTATTATACAATATTATGTCATTGTTTGTTAATTATTGAAATGGTGGGCTATCAGCACGATATGTTAACCTTGTATGTACTGTATGCGTATGTTTATCATTCCATAATGATCACTTCAAACAGTTTAATTACATCATATTTTCATTTATTATTTTCGTTATATTAACTAATACATTGATTTAGAATGGGAATTAAATGTTTTAAGAATGTCATGTTTCGCGCGCGGCTTCAGACAATTTATTGAAAAGTTTTAAATTACCATGTTAATTTTTAATTACCTTATATTATTTTTTCATAAATATTTCACATACACATGTTATTTTAATTATAAATGTGTTTACTCTAATCTGTTGAATTTGTTTATAGGACTAATATTCAGCAGGAATCAAATAATATTCAACAGGGGTGATCATACATACGTTTGTAATTAAATCTGTTGAGTTGGTGTTACCTTGGGACTTTATCAAACTTTATAACTGTTACATAACAAATGTTTTACTGAGGTATTGAAAAGAATATGTTTGGTTATGTCAAGTTTAACAGTAATGAAAAATCACTTCACTTCAGAAAACAATACTAAAATTCATCCTACATGTAGAAATATTAAGTATAAAAGCAAAGAAGGCCAACTGTAAATAAAATAGACACATTTTTGTGTTCACTCTTTACAGAAACTTGAGCAAGTTTGTAATGAAGAAGATGTAGTTGCCAGAAGAGATGACAACGATGAGGACGACAGCAATTATTATGTGAATGCGTTTGATTTGTAGCACATCCTCTTTATTGGTTCTGATACAACTTTCTACTCAGCAAATGGTTCCATTTTGACAGAACGGCTATGAATTTCCTCTGTCAAGGCTTGATTCAGAGACAGTGTAGCCATCTGCTTTTCTGAATATCCTAGATTTTTAAGTGTGCACTATGGAGTTTTTGTACACTGGGCCTCTTGTTTATTTTTGATATTTGTTTGAAATTTTTTTTAATCAATTGAACTTGCCCAATACTGAATAGATGATATGGAACTTGATCTTTTATTAACTGTACTTACAGAAATAGTATAGAATTGTCAGCACTTGACTCTAACTTGATTTTAGTTTATTTTTTTTTTTATATTGATTATTGTAAATCCTTTTGTCCTATATTAAAATGGAGCTTTTGCTAAACTACAGTATAACAAAGTACAGTACAGGACGCATTAAACATTAAAGTATAAACACATAACGCTACATAAGTGTAAGTAATTTTGTATTGTTATCCTCTTTTGTCCCGGAGCATCAAAGTTAACACGATGTAGTTGGAATCATACATGTGACCAGAGGCCGACCTAAGGATATCTACGGTTCAGTGTACAGCGTTTGTTCAAGTTTTGAAAACGCCTTGGAACACCGATCAAACTCAAAAAGTTTTACCGTTATTTTGATGTTTTTAAAAATAACTCTAGTTACATTGACTTTGGTATTGTAACACATTTTAAGAATGTTTTAAAAACGTTTAAAAATATTAAAATAACGTTATAATGACGTTTCTGAATGTTAAATTGAAACGTTATTAAAATGCTTTAAAAACTCCACATAAATACGTTTTTAAAACGTAATATTATAACGTTTTACAAACGTAATAAAAACCCTTTCGTAAACGTTTTTAAAACGTGATACAAGACCAAAGTCGATGTAACCAAGGTTAGTTTTACGTTATAATAACGTTTTTAAAACGTTACATTAAAACGTTATTAAAATGCTATCAAAACTCCACAAAATTATGTTTTCGAAATGTTTTAATAAAACGTTTTTTGAACCAAACTCATACGTTTTTATAACTTTTTTTTAACGTTAAATTGTTAGCTGGGATAAAATCAGAGGCCGTTCGTTTGAAATTGAAGAAATTCAAATAATATACTCAGAACAATGTTAAACTTCTTTTAATTAATCTATCACCATAAAATACATGCCCAGCTACATCATAATATTAAATAGCCTAGGCCCTGTTCTTTTGTTGCTGACGCCCGAAAATAACCTTATGCGTTTGGGCGATTAATTTTTTTTTTTTTTTCACCACTCCCCACCCCCTTCCCCACCCTAAATCCGCCTCTGCTATTTAAAATCACATCATTAAGATTGATCTAAATTGATTTAAATGTACTACATATTAACATACATTGTAGTCGATCTATAGCAAAAATGTTAATGTCCTGTTATTGGCAAACCCGTTTCTCTGATCTTTAATTAGAATGAATTAAGTGACATAGTTACGTAACACAAACTGGCGTTAAAACAAATCTATGAAAACTTTAATAAATACTTTTTATCTAAACTTTCTGAATTCGCCTCTGAATGATATTGTCGCAGTACTTAAAGCAATAACTCAAAGTATGTCGCTATCAGAATTATCTTTTTCATTCCCATATGCAACCTAACTCCAGAGTCTCTGCAACACTTGCTTGAAATTGGATGTGCTTTCCATAAAGAACACTGCAGCACCTAGGGCTATACAATTCAAGTGGGCAATAATAAATTAATTAAGTACAGTATTTAATTTATATTCAAAAGAAATTCAAAAGAGATAGAACCTCTACTAGAATGGAACATACACAAAGACACACAGTATCGTACAAACTTGCATTGAACTGTCTTAAACGAGGATAAACTTCATAAAAAAATATGTATTTCATCCGAGCAATTTAAATTATTAAATGTAACTGTTATCTTTTAAATAAACTCTCTTACCTCACATCACCTAAAGGGGGAACATAGATCAAGTGTTTAGTGCAAACAAAGGTACATGATTCAGGGGAGGATCCATGATTTGGAAGAGGGGGTTCAAAACGTTTCCAAAAATACCCAAAATGAAAGGGGGTCCGGGGGTCCTCCCCATGGAAAATTCCCCCCTTGAATTCGCCACTATGGGGAATCCTTTAACGCTCAGGTGACCTAGGGTTTTAAAACAAATACCGTATAGGCCTATACTCACGTATAGACGAGGCTTAAAATAGCAAATTACGATCGACAAAAAGGGGGTCGTCTTATACGCCCGACATTCAGATTTTAGATTTTTATATTCATGTTAGTCTTATGTGCGGATCGTCCGTAAATCTGGTTTTCTACTAGGCAAATTTATTCACGCGAATCCAAAGCGTCGGCTTATGCACATGCGCATTCACATTCCTATCGGAGTTTTTGAGAAGCGAAAAAATGCACAACCAATCAGAGCTCAGGAAGCGAGCCGACGCTTTGATTCGCGCGAATAAATTCGCCTAGTGGAAAACCAGCTTAACACGCAAACTTATTACTGCAATGAAGCAACTGAATGTTGTATCAATGAAAGCAATTTTAAATATGGGAAAATACGATTTTGGTGGTGAAGATTTAAAAACTCATAAAATGGTATTAATTGGAAGTATAACCTTGCATTTGGCTCCATTTATCCAGCTAGACGCAGTATACAGGACCACAAAAAAATTAGGAATTCCGACCATGAAACAGGGTGTCGTCTTATACCCCATACATACAAATATCAACCAAAAATCTTCTAAAACTACGCGAGTGTATACGGTATTATTACGGAACCGCTGAGGAAGTTCGTGTTCCCGTCACATATTTAACGGTTGGTTGTAACAATAAACTCGCAAGACTGCTCGCTACTACTAGATTCTACAAGTGCGTGGTTGGCTGGGTTGTTTTGGTCGGAAAGGAGAAATTTTCTCTGTGAATTGATTCTCGAACGAGATAAAGAAGGCTCTCTAATGACTCAAGCTACTGTATACCGTTTTTATATTTTTATTAAAACCAATTTCTTCTAATTTTAAATACGTTTCCCCTGATTTTGTGATAATTCGTTATCACGCAAGTGCTAAATTCGTGACACATTTATGATTTCGCATGTGTTTCTGCAAAATATGTTTCATCCAATATCACTTTGAAGTGATGCGTGACGGTTGGTAACTATGGCATAGATAACTGCCGGGCCCTAGGTAAAATTGGTAAAAATGCACCTGATCGGACATAGCGACAGAGCCTCTAGTGGGGTCTACTCAGGCGAAACTCTGAATGCTTATACATTCTGAGGTTTTTAAAAACAGATACGGTATACCCGTAGGAAAATAATGTATAGAATTTCTAAAGAAACAATTCTATAAAATTTCTACAGCTTTTCTATATGCTAATTCTATATGATTTTCTAAACCAGCTTTATAGAGTTTTAATAGATTTTCTACAAGGTCGCTAAAGATGTAGTTTTGATGTAGTTTAAATAGAAATCCTGAAGAACTCCGATAGAGTTCTATAGAGTTTTTTTAGAACCTCTAAAGAAATTTTGTAGAAAAAAGAAAACTCTAAGAAAAATTTATAGAATTTACTTAGAGTATTTGTATAGAAAAACAAAATTTTATAGAGTTTCTTTAGAAACATTTTTATTTTCTATAGAACTACAACAAACTTTTTTATATAGAATTTATATATAATTTTGAATAATCATATCGACTTTTATAGAATTCATCATACAATTCTATAGAAAGTTAGACGAATTATATAGAATAACTTATAGAAAATTACCATTATGAAAAAAATCTATAGAAAGTTGTCATAGAAAAATACACAGGTAAATTTTGAATTTCTGTTAAAAATTCTATAGAATTATTAGTATTTCCATAGAGATTATTTTATAGAAAAATATAAACATTCTAAAGAACACATATATAAAGTTATAGAATGTTTATAGAAATAAATCAGAATTCTATAGAGTTTCTATAGGTCGATTCTATGTAATTTTCTAAAAGCTAACCTATAGAGTTTCTGTAGAAAATCTATAGGAATTCAAATGATATCTTAATAGAATTCTATTAAAACTCTATATGGTTCTTTAGAAAGTTGATAGAAACTCTAAAGAATATTTTTAGAACATGAACAAAACAGTCATCTACTGTATAGAGTTTCTTTAGAACTTTATTTTGGTTTCTATAGATGTACAGAATTCCAACTTTCAAAAAACCTTTATAGAATTCATCATACAATTCTATAGAAAGTTAGACGAATTATATAGAATAACTTATAGAAAATTACCATTATGAAAAAAATCTATAGAAAGTTGATAGAATTTTCATAGAAAAATACACAGGTTTCTATAAAATGTCTACAAAATTTTGAATTTCTGTTAAAAATTCTATAGAATTATTAGTATTTCCATAGAGATTATTTTATAGAAAAATATAAACATTCTAAAGAATACATATATTAAGTTATAGAATGTTTATATAAATAAATCAGAAGTCTATAGAATTTCTGTCACACTTTGTGTTTCTATTATGTTAATCATCTTATTTATATGCTAATTACTTAATGCTTGGTTTGTGTTGTACGGTACTGGAATAAAGGCAGTTGAATGAATGAACCCAATGTGGAATATCGTGTTTCTTACATGGTGTCAGAATGGCGAAATTTACTGTATTGAATTAAGATGGAGTGCTTGAAATTTAAGCCGCCTTCGCCTTTTGATTTTGATGGCCCAAGTGTTTCAGCAGCTTGGAGGAGATGGAAGCAAAGATTTAACTTCTTTCTGAAAGCCACTGGCAGTTCACGTAAAAGTGGAGAAATAAAGGTAGCTATTTTGATTACTACTTTGGAAGGGCGTGGCCTTGATATC